GCACCCTGCAGTGGGTCTTGCATTCCGTGCGGTGCACCCTGCAGTGGACCATGCATCCCTTGCAGTGGGTGTCCAATGGCAGGACGGATTGGGAGAAGTGTGGGTGGATGGTGGATGGTGTGTTTCCCTGAGTAAGAGTTCATCAAGCATCCTTCAAGTGTATTCATCAACAATTATCAAAAGGGTTCCAACTCTCCAAAGAGCCTTCCATTGTTTTCTGATGTTCTTTGAAGCATAGCAATCAAGGAAAGACATGAGCCACCACCAAAAATTGTCAGACTGCCGAAGAATGGATGTTGCCACAAAAAATGCCTACATATGCCTGCACATGTTTCTGCGAAAACACAATAGAATTCTATTGAAAGAATAGGTTGCCGGTTACCCAAAAATAGACATCCAAAGCACTGAAAACGGCCAACCTTATTTATATAGGATAATAGATATATTATATATTCCTACTTTTGGCATCGTGGGCTAGGCCCCTAGGCAAAACAGTTGCCACTCACATGGAAAGGAGCAGATCGAAAGGAACACAAACCCAACCTAATTGCACGAGCTTAGTTCACTCACAAGTGTAATGTAGAAAAAAAAATACCCCACAAGATTGCCCACTGGTTTTCCGGATTCTTTCACGCGTGTCCACACCACTTGTTGTCAACAGCTGCTACAGATCGTTTCAGCAAAGTTTCCACAGAAGGTTTCGGGTAAAGCGCACTGAATGTGTAAAAGAATTGCCTGGACCTTGGGCGGTTTGAAAAAGAATGTGGAAAGTGTGGAAAAAGAGAAACGTTGATACATATACATACTTGTGAAACGAAGGTCACGCACGAGAGCATCGTTGATCCCAATCATGACATGGCCATGTGGCCCAATGCACAGGGGCCGTAGCTGATCCCAACCTTTTCCAACTTTTGCTATGGCGTTGGAAAAGCGTGTGCCTTGCTGCTGAAGGTATCCACCATTTCACAGTGGTACCGCGGAGCTGAGGTGGACGTTCCAGGCCAGCTGAGCGATGAGCGGAGAAGATGAAGGAGAACACGAATCCCGTCGAGCCGCTGGGTATGCAGCAGAGAGCCGAGAGACCACGACCAGAGCAGCTGAGTTTCCTGCGAGGGACAGGGATCCCCCGCCTTCCTATGACGGCGACAACCCCGAGGTCACCTTCCGGCAGTATGAGAAGCAGGTGGAGCTTTGGCTGCTGGAAACTGAGGTTTGTCGGGTCAAGCGAGGCATCAAGCTGCTCAGGCAGCTGAGCGGAGTGGCTGCCACGGCCGTGGACGACATGGAGGTGAAAGAGATCGCCAGTGAAGACGGTGTCTAAAACATCCTCCACCGACTCAGGGACTACTTCGCGCCGCATCTTGAAGTCTCCCTTCCAAGGGCCTTTGAGACCGCGGTCTACGGGCCTCCACGGGGTTCCAAGGAGTCCTTCGCGGAGTACACCAAAAGAATGGATCGAGCCTTTCACCGGCTCGGTGTGGAGGGCGTCGAATTGCCCGACAGTGCACGCGGCTACATCATGTACCGCCAGGCCGCTTTGACGGAGGCTCAGGAGCAGCGCTTGTTGACGTGGTCGCAAGGCCGCTATGGGAGAAAGGAGATCGCGGAATCCCTGAGGCGATTGGACAAGGTCCTCTAGGAGAAGGCGAAGGGCAGCTATGTGACCGAAGAGTCCTTCGTTCTTGAGAACCCGGCCGGTGACACCTACGACGAGGACCTCACCTACGCTGGATGGGAGGATGAGGACCCCGATTACATCTTCCTGGCGGAAGGGGACCTGGACGAGGTCATGGATGAGCAGGATGTCATGGCCGCTTTGGCCGCCTACCAAGACACGAGGCAGGCGCTCAAGGACCAGCGGCTCGGCAGGGGTTACTTTCCCGGGAAGGTGAAGGGCAAAGTCAATTCGTTCCAGAAAGGCAAGGAGAAGGGCAAGCGCAGAGTTCACATCGAGCAGCTGAAACTGAGAACGCGCTGCCGCCGGTGCCAACAGATCGGGCATTGGGAGAGAGAGTGCAAGAACGCTCCGGTGGCAAGGACAAGCAGTGAACCGGCCCGGACCTTCTTTGTAGGACTTCAGCCCGGCTCCGAGAGCGTCGAGTTTTCCAGTGAGTCGCAGCAATATTGGCTGCGCAACTTTGTGAAGGAGCGGAAGTCCCATTCGAGGCCCGCCACCGACAGTGAATCCGAGGAGGCATACATGGAGCGGGCATGTGTGTGCTTGGAGGGTTCGGAGAATTTTTGTGGCATCACCACCAAGTCGTTCGAGGGGATCGTCGATACCGCGGCCGAGGGCGGACTCGTGGGTCGAGCACCACTCGCACGGCTGGAGAAGGAGTTGTTGATGCGGGGGTTACGCATCAAATGGACCCCAAAGCAAACTTCAGCTAAGGGAGTCGGTGGCAACGCGGTGGTCGAGGGGGTCGCACTTATTCCATTGGGCATTGGGGGCATCAATGGGGTGCTGGAGACCACGGTGGTGCAGGGAGACGTACCCCTTCTACTACCAGTTCGTTTGTTGGTGACCCTGGCGGCCAAGATAGACCTCAAGAACATGATCATGGAGTTGCAAAACCACCAGGTTGAGGTTCCACTTCATCCCCTATACCAAGCGGTCACGTCACGGTCAACATCCTCTCGTTCGCGGCCGGTCGATTCGATGTTCCTCGGGAAGCCGGGGAGCAATCCGAGTTTGAGGTGAATGCTTCGTGTTTCATGGCCACAGCCATGCCGGTTCAATCCGACGGCCATCAATTCGATTTGCGCCCAGACGCCCAAATCCCACCTTCATCCAATGGCGTCGCTGCTCCAGAAGGCGAAAGCACTGGTGGGAAGCCATCCTACGGTGGATCCAACACCGATGGAAGTGGGGCCCAAGGTTCTCAACCCAAGGGTATACCCTTGAAACACTGGCGCATCATCCTGGACAAGATCGGCATTTTGCTGGTTTTGGCGGCTTTGCAAGACGCCACAGAGGCTTGGTGTTTGGAGCTGGGCTCGCAGCGGCAGGCACGCAGCTCGATGGACAGTATCGAGGACGTCGAGGACTACTATGCGGAGGTAATCATGCGTGCACCCGCGCTCAAAACTCTGCAGAGCAAAACTGGACCGACCGCTTCCGCCAGCAGTTGCATTCACCCGAAGAACCAGTTGAAGGGTGGTGGCAACGGTTCCAGTTCCTACATCGTGTGCAAAGCGTGCCATTCCAGGTGGGCCCATTCCGAACGGTCAGCCGATGTCCACAAGCTGCTGAAGCACGGCCCCTTGAGCATCAAACAGGGCAAGACCGAGGCGTCGTCGCCTACCAGGACCAGTGCCTTGGCTGCAGCCCCAGTGACTCCTCCGCGCTCGGAGGGACGCATGCTGGTCGATGCCATGTATGGCAGCCCCTCGACGGAAGGCTCGATGGCACTGGTCAAGGAGGACCTCCGAGTGGAGCTGAACACTCACATGCAGATGATCCTGCAGCAGCTCAAGAACGAGCAGGCAGCCTCCACGATCCAGATGTCTCAGTTCAACGCAGTGCAACTCCAGCAGATGTCCGACGAGCTGCGCAAAGCCACCCTGGCGAATCGAGAACAGGACCTCCGGCAAGAGAAGTTGATCATTCAGCAACAAAGCCTCGCCGGCACCCTCGACGCCGGGGAAGAAAGATCCAAGAGCAAGCTCGCGACGATCGCCCCCTCCGACTACCAAGAAGACCTGTCTGTGCGGGAAGCCTGCGGAAGCCCTGATCGTGAAGAAGGAGGGACCTCGGAAAGGCCGCATGTTCTGGAAGTGCGTCCAACGCAAGTGCGACCTTTTCGAATGGATCAACGAGCAGGACCAGGCGGACATCGAGGAGGCGAAGACGGCGGCGTCATCATTGAATCCGAGGAGGTCCAAGAGCCCGAGAAGGGAGGCCTCGGCGTCACCGGAGACGAGGAGAAGAGCAGCGGTGGCGACGATGGCGGTGTTGGGATCTGCGCCCAGCACCGACTGGACGAGGGTGAGCTATGCCGAAAGGACGCCGGTGGTCGATGTGGAGGACGACGAGTTCGACGGCTAGAAGAAGCGCCTGCCCTGACCAAGTGCTCCGGCTCCAAGGCAGTGAAGTGGGCCAAGAAAGCATAAGCTGGCGAGCACGTCTACCTGGCGGCCAAGCCAGGCTACTGGACGTGGCGAGAGGAGCTATGGACTCACTACGAGTCGGAGATCCCCGAGGACATTTCGGAGGTCTACGTGGAGGTCTACCTCAACCGACGTGGGCTACGTGAAGAGGAATGGGGAGAAGAAAAACAACGCCAGCTTAGCCGCAAGGAGCGGCGAGAACTCGCCAAGGCCATCAAGTCCGTGGAGAAGAAGTCCCAGGTGATTCTCGGAGAGATCTATAGTCCACCTCGGATTGCCTTACATCTGCAAAAGAAGGGCTACCAAGTTGGCAGCTCTTTTGATCTCCAGACCGGCTGGGACCTGTCACAGGACAATCACCGCCGACAAATGTGGAGGATTTTGCGAGAAGAGAGACCAGAGGTTCTGGTGGTGAGCCCACCATGCACAGCCTTTAGCCGCCTGCAGGCCATCAACTGGGGAAGAATGACGCCAGGCCATCAGGTGAGGCTACTCCAAACCGGCCGGGAGCATCTACAACTGGCAGTGGCAGTGATGAAGTGGCTCGATGAGAGCCAGACCTCGGACCTGGACGAGTTACCAGCCGGGAGAATACGTGTTTGTGTTCCGGGCCCCGAGATTGAAGAAAAGAAAACATGGAGCCGCAGTGGACGATATGAGTTCAACCACCAAAGCCAGGTGGGTTGGACCTGGGGTAGTGATCACCCCGGACGGGGCCAATCTATGGGTCGCCATGATGGGGGAACTATGGAAGGTAGCCAGAGAGCAATGCAGTGCCAGGAGTTGATTGAGGAGTTCAAGAGGGGCTCGCCTATAACCGGTGAGGAACTACCACCTGGGGAAGGAGCAGAACTCGATGAACCTGGATCACCCAGGACACCGGGCAGGTGTCCGATTCGAGCCAGGAGAGGAAGAACTGGACTACGTCCCAACTTCACCGGAGGGAACTGAGGGAACCCCGAGGGCACGTGAAAAGGAAGAATCAAGAC